AGCCAGAGCCCTAAGTCTGAGCCAAGCTCTAAGTGTGAGCCAGAGCTCGTAGTGTGAGTCAGAGCTCGAAGACTGAGCCAAAGCTCTAAGTGTGAGCCAGAGCTTGTAGTGTTAGCCAGAGCTTGTAGTGTTAGCCAGAGCTCGTAGTGTTAGCCAGAGCTCATAGTCTGAGCCAGAGCTCTAAGTGTGAGCCAGAGCTCGTAGTCTGAGCCAGAGCTCAAAGTCTGAGCTCTGGCTCAGACTACGAGCTCTGGCTCAGTCTTAGAGCTCTGGTTCAAAATTCGAGCTCTGGCTCACACTTACAGCTCTGGCTCACACAAAGAGCTTTGGCTCAGACTTTGAGCTCTGGCTCACACTACGAGCTCTGGCTCAGATTTCGAGCTCTGGCTCACACTTCGAGCTCTGGCTCACACTTCGAGCTCTGGCTCAGACTTAGAGATCAGGCTCAGACTATGAGCTCTGGCTCACACTACAAGCTCTGGCTCAGAATTTGAGCTCTGGCTCAGACTACGAGCTCTGGCTCACTCTTCGAGCTCTGGCTCACACATATAGATCTGGCTCATACTTCAAGCTCTGGCTCATACTTCAAGCTCTGGCTCAGACTCATAGCAATGGCTCAGACTTTGAGCCAGAGCTCAAAGTCTGAGCCAATGCTCTTTGTGTGAGCCAGAGCTCTAAGTGCGAGCCAGAGCTCTAAGTCTGAGCCAGAACTCGTAGTCTGAGCCTGAGCTCTAAGTCTGAGCCAGACCTCTAAGTCTGAGCCAGAGCTTAATGTCTGAGCCAGAGCTCGAAGTCTGAGCCAGAGCTCGTAGTCTGAGCCAGAGCTCGTAGTGTGAGCCAGAACTCTTAGTCTGAGCCTGTGGTCTAAGCCTCTATAAAAGTGAAGTTGGCAGTGTGAATGGGAGGGTGCAGTTTCCTTTGATTGACCAGGTGTGTGCTGGGTTCACGCATGCTGTCGTGCATGTGATTGCGGTAGGTTTGGAGGTTTGTTTTTAAAGGTATTGATTGTTTTTAAACTGTTGATTTTTTCTGATGTGTGATATTTTTACAACAGGACCACACAGTTTCAACAAAGAGGAGATTGAAGCGGGACTGCCTGGGTGTGGGGTTGTTCAACGCCACAGGCAGGCTTGCAAGTTTCTGGGTTTTTAAATTGTATTCGTGTGGTTTTGTTTATATCTTTGTTTTGGCTGGTAGGGCCACACTTGTCAGCGCTTTTCTGGATTTGCCCTTACTGGGTGTTGGCTTATTAGACGCTACAGGTGCGTAGTGATTTTTAAATTGTTTTTAGAGACTGATCTGATTAAAATGATTGTATTTAGTAATCTCGTGTCTTGTGTTTTCACAGTTTATCACTGTTACCTGCTGTCCTTCTTCGAGTTTTGTTTTTTCTTTTGTTAGTCCGCCCAGTTTTTTGATTGTATTTTTTTCTCTTTAGTGCAAGTGAGGGCAACTAACAGCTTTAAATATCCTGGGTCACTGGGTCACTTCCTAAGAATTAATATTCTATGCTACTGTTAACTTTAAACCTGAAACCTGATCCTGTTTGGATTATTACCGTTGGTGTTTCAGATTAAATGCATTATATGGGTTGCAGTGAACAGTTGCAGTGTTATGCGGGTTTGCCCGCCCGAAATGGTGTTTCAAGTTCGGGCTGAATGTTTAGTTAGCAGCATAGGGATAAAAGTTTAAAGGGAAACCCCAATAAATATTATTGTAAACCACATTTATTTTCTGTATTTATTCCTTTTACAAGTCATTATACTAATAATAAAGTTATGAACAAATATGGCCCCTGCCTTGTGGTTTTGGAAGCCATGCATGAACCGTGTCTCTCCCCTCTGCTGCTGACACGATAAATAAACTCCGACACAACTTTTTCTTCCTTCTTCATCCCCCACTCCCCATTAATTATTTATTTATCATTGATGTGGCTTTTAGTCCTGGACATGCGCTCTGTTTACAGAGTTTACACTCTGTAAAATTGCTCATATTCACAACAAATATTGGCGGCCGACTGACCGAGAAAGTGCGTTTCATGTAACCCCCCACCCCTAATCACCACTGAACAAAGAACACCCTCACTCCGCACATACGATAGAAACGCGACAGTTTTAAAGGGTCGGTGTGATAGTTTGTGGTTTCCTATCTGGCAACCCATATACTAGTTCTAAGCACAACTTTTCCTTTATTATACCACTGATGCTACTACTGATAATTAAAATCTAAAACAATAATAAAATATTATCATAAAGTGTCCAAAGAAAATTTTAACATAAAACATTTTTAAACTTTTGCTAATATTCTTATTTGCCTGTCACTTTACAAAAGAACAGCTTAAAAAAAAAAAGAATTAATAAATTATTGATAATCCTGCTATAACCAAACTGTAAACTATATGTAAACCTTTACAGTGTATTTGTTAAAAATGGTTAATAGTGGTTTGTCGGTTTTTGACTTTGTATTCTTGATGATTTACGTACATCTTGACAAAAACTTTTCAATAAAGTCTAGTGCTAAACTGAACAAATTAAAGGAATTTAGCAATCAGCAAAATCTTATTTATCTGATTCAATAAAAACTATATAGTTAAAATCTGTACAAAAATATATTTGCACAAATGTGGTGATTGATTTCTAACTCTTTTATAAATATTTATTTATACACTATTTATACTTAATTCAGCACTTAAATATAGTTTAAAGATATTTTATAAGGCTATAGTCTTGCTGTGAAGTGGTGCCACCCTTAAGAACTGGTGAGGAAGGAAAGTGCCAGATTATCAGATTGATTCCCATAAACTGATGTATTTGTGTTGCCATCTAGTGGCTTTCAGGTTCCAACTGTGAGTCACTTTTGGAGGATCAACAACAAACAGTGCAAATTAACTCCAGCATAGTTTAGTACTTTACTGCAGTTTCAACTTGTTCATGACATTTATCCATTTCATGCAGCTTTACTCCATCACAGTTCACATGGAGCTTTGACCTCTCTTTACTTCTGATGTTTATTGGACATTTTTTGTAGCAAATTGTAACAGGCTTTTTGTTAAGTTGTTATATCTTTTATATCTTGGACTCCTTTTGAAACCAAATATTTTCTAAACGAATACATTATAATCAGAATATGCAAATGATTTTGAAACTTTAGGAATCAGAATATTATTTCTTATCCTGATGCATGCTCAATATTATTTCTTCTTCCATTTGACATTTTTTTATTGTTCATGTAGTTGAAACTAGTTAAAATATGTATTACGGTACTTCTAATATACATTTTGTCAATACTTTAATGTTTTTTTTATTATTTATTTTAGGTCAGTCTTTTCATACAGGTCATTTATTTTTGTTTATCAGTTCTTAACACATACTCTTCATTTAATTACACTGTTGTAATGATTTGTAGTAAAATAGGTGATGGTAAGGAGCGTATTTGAGCTAATGCTGACACTATAACATTTTATTTATTATTAGCTGACAGATTTAAACTCATATTTAATTGATTTAGTTCACTCTTTCAACAAGAGCAGGAGACTTTTAAGGTTAAATATGATTATGCTATATTTTTTACCTTTACTGATAACCTCAGGTCTCAAATTATCGACTAATCTTGAAACTGGTTCAAAGAAGGGAGCGGTGTAAATACTCATAAATATATGTGAATACCTAACAAATGATCTTTAACCCTTGTTCCACACCCAAGTGAAACACGGCTGTACAGGATGATAGAAAATGACCTCAAAGTGTTGCTTCATTAACTTTATATAGGAGGCCGAGATGGTGTAGAGGCAGGGCAGCCGGCTTGGGACCCGAAAGTCCCAGGTTCGATCACCAGTCACTGCACATCACGTGGCGTCTCTGGGCAGCACGTCTCATCCCCAAAATGCCCCCCCCCCCCCCCCCC